GGATGTCTAAATATAGAAGAACTTGTCTTCAAAGCTTTTATACGGTGCTCGAGAGAACTCAAAGCGCGGCTGCTTGCAGGAAGAAAACACACACCAATTAAGACAAAATCTTCTCCACTTTGACAACACGCACATGACATATAAATAAAACAGGAGCACATTTAGAAGAATGGTTTAAACATTTAAGAAGTCAGCTTATTTGCTTTCTTTCTGTGAGTGAGATGACGAGATTGATATCTGTCTTGTGTCTTACATCTTAAGGTTTAGTAAGCCTATAGCTTATGAAGGGGCAGTGGGAAAGAGCTAGTGAAGAAGACACCTCCCATCACCTCTAAAGCTCAAGTATACTGGTATTTCTGTGAAGTGTCCGTGGCTAAAGCACGTGTTCCAGTCAGTGAGCAATGAGTTTTTACAGTAGGACTCTGAAGTTTAAATGTTTGGCTCCATTGTACCTTTACACTTTGTTAAGACTCCAGGAGCTTGTGCACAAAAACTGTCCAACTGTTGTCCACCAAGACAGAGTTATATCACGCAATCCTCCCACATATTGTCGTTTTTACATTTCTGTTCATGAATGGGTTGAACAAACGAGATTCAGTGTTGCTTTAAAGGAGTTCCTCAAGTCAGTTACTTTTCAGTAGTGTTGGAAAATGAGCAAACAGTCTTTATTTTATATTTTAAAGAAGCTATGAATCGCCTGAATCTACGGCTTTAGAGCTTTATAGTGAGTTTCAGGTCATTATTTAACTGTCCAATCCACAACTTTCACTCTCACCGTGGTTTTCAGTAACATAACTTTGCTTAGCACCAAACAGCAGACAGACCCAGATAGAGACGAGCTGATGAACATAGTGGAAGAAAATAGGGTTCACAGGTCACTGTTGTTTAAATAACAGTAAGTAAAATAGAAAGTAAAGTTTTTCTTCAGAACACACATTACACATTAATATATATACTGAATATATGTATCTGTGCATATTGTTGTCCTTTGACTTTTTTTGTTGAATCCTTTATATTTATGTCTCTATTGTGAGTGAAACTCTTCAATTTGCTCCCTTGTTGTGATGCATGAATGAATGAATGAACGAATGAATGAAACCTACCACGGTTTGTATTTAGCGAAAACAAAACCGACCTCTGTTGTTTAATTAGTACATTGGTGAGATCTTGTCCAAAGAACCGCTCGTCACTGTGTGTTTTAAACTGAAGTCTAAGAATGGAGACCCTTCAGTGTCATGGCCGCTGCCGCACAATGCTGTGCTTTTACAGCGGCTTATTGTAGTGGAGTATTTCCAGGGTACATTTGTACTTGACATTCTCATACAACCTCCAGGGACACACAGAGGTTGATCTATAGAAAACACACCACCAAAGGGTGTGTTTGTATTTATAGCTATCACAACTTGTGTTTACTGTTCAGGTCAACGTACACTTAAAGCTGTGATTCTTGTGTTTTCCGAACGCCCCAATGAATGCAGCGTTATATTATGTAAGTGTCTCACATCAGCAGCATAATGTCAGGAACATAATACGCTTTATTTTATATACTTCATTAAGTTGCCCTTTCTCTTGTGATTACTAGATGCTGGTTTCTTTAGAATCTCAGCATCTCTAAGTGATGCTGTCACATTATCAAAGGTCTCATTTGTTTGACCTGAAACATGTCGTTTTCATTTCTAAAAAGATATCTGCTATTTGAATTCAGTTTCAATTCAATTCAGTTCAGTTTTATTTGTATAGCACCAATTCATAACAGAAGTTATCTTTTCAAATAGAGC